TGAATTGAGAGATTTTCTCTTTTGTTTCAAAATAAAAATTTATTATTCTGCATTCCAGATTCTATTTGGCTTGTACAACAGGAACTCCTGTTCCATTTGTTAATTTTTGAGATTATATATGTACAAACATATATATATGACAAAAATATTTATTATGTATAATATAAATAGAAACAAAGAATGAGAGGAACAACAACAAAAACATAAATGGGCAGCCAGAATGTTGTACTGTAATCTATTAAAAGATCTAATGGAAAGACTCCATGATAATGGATCTAATAAAAGATCTAATGGAAAGACTCCAGTGCTTTGGGTAAATCTTGCATGTATGTATGTATGTATGTATGTATGTATGTAAAGGCAAATAATGAGGACTGAAGGAGTTGAGATCCACACTGATGATATCCTTCAAAGATTCTTTTTTGCAAGTATTTTTTCATTACATAACTGATCCACGAAAGAGTCCATCCTCAGTAGCGTGGACATACTTATAAAAAAGGGGATTTAAGATCTCCATTCCCTGAATCTGCTATTTTAACTCCTTCACAGCCCCAAAAGAAACATTAACATTTTTCTATACTAAAGACACCCAATTTTTAAAAAATCACTCAGTATACTTTCATGTCTAATTAGCTAAAACAGACAGCTAATGACATGCTAGGTCAAAAGCTTTAATCTAAATATTTGATCCAGCAATACCACTATTAGGTCTGTATCCCAAAGAGATCATAAAAGAGATAAAAAGACCTACATGTACAAAAATATTTGTAACAGCTCTTTTTGTGGTAGGAAAGAATCGGAAATTGAGGGGAGGCCCATCAACTGGGGAATGGCTGAACAAGTTGTGGCATATGAATATAATGGAATACTATGGTGCTGTAAGAAATGAAGAGCAGGCAGATTTCAGAGAAACCTCAAAAGACTTACATGAACTGATGCAAAGCAGAACCAGGAGAACATTGTACACAGTAACAGCAATACTGTGTGATGATCAACTATAATTGACTTAGTTTTTCTCAGCAACATAATGATCCAAGACAATTCAAAGACTCATGATGGAAAATGCCATTCGCATCCACAGAAAGAACTGATGGAGTCTGAATGCAGATCGAAGTATACTGTTTTCACTTAATTTTTTTCATGTTTTTTTTCCCTTCTGTAAACTAATTTTTTTTTGCAAACTGTTTCTTCTTTCATAACAACTAATATGGAAATAGGTCTTACATGATTGCACATATATAACCTGTATCAAATTACCTACTGTCTTAGGAAGGGGAGGAGTGAAGTGAGGGAGGGAGAAAATTTGGAACTCAAAATTTTATAAAAAATGAATACAAAAATTGTCTTTACATGTAATTGGAAAAAATGAAATATTATTAAAAATAGGTTATTTAAATGTTTTTCCATGGCCACCGTTTATACCCCTAATTCTTACGAGTCAAGTTTTGTGGAATGCCATAAAAAAAAGCAATTGAATGAAAGATTGTGGATGGTTGATTAAAAAGAGATTCATACCACTACTGGGAAAATCATATATTATTGTCTATTTATAGTCCAGCATGCTACATGAATATTACTAATTTAACATGTCTCACCACAAGTAATTAAATTTTCTATTGAAAGAATTTCCCTAAATGAACACAATTCCAAATTTATAAACAAAGCAGTGGGACAATTTAATTTATTCTAAATGCATTTACTTTGCATATAATTTTATCAGACTATTATCTATCTTGGATTGAGATATTTCAGCAAGATTATATATAAAGTGAATGGTTTGTTTTTCTCTGACATAGAACAGAGCCTCAGTTCTTAAAGGCTATGGGCCAACAGACCACCAACTCAGGCTAGTAGTGCTACCAAATTGGAAAGATTTCAATTATGAGCCAAGTGATTGACTGACTGTACCTGAGATCTAAGGAACAGCTTAACGTAAGAGAGGCTCATGACCAGATATTTGGACACCACATAATTCTTTTGGCCACAGCAATCAATAAACCCTCTACTAAGGAGGGATTTGGCTTGGCTTGCAACATAAGGGACATACCTAAATGAATAAAGTAATGTATCTTTGAAACATTAATAATAAAGGTTTGCTTATTTTATAAAGCATTATAAATTATTATTATTATATATTATTTTTTATAAAGATTATCTATACAGTCTTCATGGCACTTTCAAGTCATCTCCTCATCATGCTGCTGGCACTAAAGAGTTCATCCTCATCTCCCTTCACCACCATAATCTTGAACTCTATTCCTGGGACCCCCTGCTCTAAAGCAGAGTTTTCAACCAATCTTTCCCAGAACCAGGCCTCCATGCCAAATCCCAGCCATCTCAATACCACCTCTACTCTCCCTCCCTAACTAGAATGTAAGCTCTTAATGGGCAGGAACTCTCTTGATTGCCTATATTCATATCAAAGTACCCAGCACAGAATAGCTGCTTCTAATAAATATTTTCTCTCTCTCTCTATACTTATTTCCGGGATGAGAAAAGAACTAAGCCTACAGGGCAACTTTGGCTCAACAAATTATTTTCAGTTTGATTCTAAAGGATAAAAGAAACTGAATCAAAGTTGTTCACTCAACTAATCAAAGATTTATTGAAGACCCATTGCATGTGAGGCACTAAACTGTATGCTGTATCCTAAAGATGGGCAAGGAGAACACTGATGGTATCTTCTAATTCTCCCTGTTGTGTCAACTTTGACAGAAAAATTGAAAGCCCCATAAGAATTCTTGCATGGAAAGCAGGTCAATTTATAGCTGAGTCAGCTGTTTGCTTGCTGTCAAACCCTATGTTACTATAAGAAATAAACCTTTTACCACAAGTGTATCTGACAACATTATCAATATAAGTTAGCGAGCAAACAGAAAACGGATTTACATTTGCAAGAATTTGGTTTGGTTTTCACTTCAGACAGAGTTGCACAGAGTACATCCAAACTCACTTGATTTCTCTAAGACTGTTTATTCATGGGAGAAATAATAATTGTACTACTCACCTGATAGCTTTTTGTGAGGATCAACTGAGCATGGATATAAAGCATCTTTTAACCAGAAACTACCAAATTAATAGTAACATGAAGAATAAAAATAATTTGCTCCAATAAGTTCAAAATAAATGTAAAAATGAAAAGATTCTGCTTACTTCAAAACATGTCTGATTCCAGTGGTATTATGGTGCACTGCCACTGGCACTGGAAAAGGCACTGGATTATCAGTCAGAAGCCTTCAGTTCAAATTGGGCTCTGCTTCCTACATGTGACATTGGACAAGTCATTTCAAGGTTTTATGGTACTGACCTCTTACAATTCTTTTCCTATCTGCTCTGTCTCAGTCTAATTTTTTTGGGGGGGGCTAGGAAATGGGGTTAAGTGACTTGCCCAGGGTCACACAGCTAGTAAGTGTTACGTGTCTGGGGCCAGATTTGAACTCAGGTCCTCCTGAATCCAGGGCCAGTGCTCTATTCACGGTGCCACCTAGCTGCCTATTTTGATAGCTCTTCCTCTATATCATGTCCACTAAACCTGGGTGTGCAGAAAGGCCTTGTTTTGGGCAATCTTTCTCTTTTTGCTCCATCCCGTCTCTCTAAGTGATCTCATTAACTTCCGGAGGACCAATTATACCCATGGAGATGATTCCCACATCTACATATTCATCCCTGCCATCTCTTCTCAGCTACAGGCCCCCATCACCAACTGCCTTTTGGATACCCTCAACTTCACACTCTTACTCACCCCCAAAATAGCCAATCCATTGCCAAATCTTGTCATTTCTACCTATCTCTGGCATCTGTCTCCTTTCCACTCACAATAACCACTGCTCTAGTTCAAGCCCTCATTACTTCTTACCTTGGACTATTACAATAGCCCTCTGGTTGGTCTCTCTGCCTTTATCAAGTCTCTCCCACTCTAATCCATGCTCCCTCCAGCTACCAAAATGGTTTTCTATGTAACATCCTACTCAATAAGCTCCAATGGCAGCCTATTACCTCCAGGATTAAATATAAACTCCTCTGTTTCATGTTTAAAGTTGTTTATCATCTGGCCCTTCTTACAGTTCCAGACTTCTTTCACTTTACTCCCTCCTCCAGGAACTCTACATTCTAGTTAGACTATGAAATGCTCCTTTCACATGGCACTCCAACTTCCATCTCTGGGCCTTTGCACTGGGGCTGTCCCCCTGCCTGGAATGCTCTGCCTCCACATCCAAATATCCCTGACTTCTTTCCTTAAAGCTCAAGTCCTATCTTCTACAGGAAAGATAGCTCCTAGTACCTTCTATTTTCAGATTACCTTCCATCTCCTCTGTACATGTATTTTATATGTATTTAGTTCTTTAGATGATGTTTTACTCATCAGAATGATAGTTTTATAACTATGATCTTAAAATACAACGTCAAGCACCTAACATAACAATGTCAGAACCATAACATTTATGCCAACACGAATGACAATATGTGAATCTTACCCTAATCCAAATTACAGCAGTCAATAATTAATTTCTATAGTACTAGAAGATCTCTCTTGCCCTTTAAGGGATCAAGACATATAGAGATGAACAAGTTGAATGATGTTTTCTATACATAAATTCTTTTTTTATTATGTAAAAACAGGTTTCCTATTTTTTAAAAATTGAAGTCCCACACTCCAATGAGCAATATGTACAATATAACAAAGACTTAATCTTTAAATCTCACATTTACAGCTTAATTTTAAAAAATCAATCGAATTATTCAGACTGATATCAATTAGATTTTTACTTAAAAAGCAGATTTCTTAGTTATAATTAATATCTAGTTGCTAACAATTTTGAAATTACTTTATGTTTTATATTCACTTAAGAACTTAAAAGTTTTATGAATTAACCTGTCAAGAACAGTATATAATTAAAAGGTAAGTAACAATCACATAAACTGATTTAGTAATTAACACTATAAAGGCTCTAATCAATAAAACGAATAAAAGCATTTTAGGAAAATTACAAAGCTCTCACTTGTTGACCATCTTGATAGCTGTCTATATTTAATGTCTGTGTAGCCATCATGGTTAATGAAGCTTTTATTATAAGGCATCAAATCATCTTAAATCAAAAGCAACTGTATTCTGGAAAAAAAAAAAGAAGCACAAAGATATTAGTTAATACTAATTTTAAAAATCCTTTTCTTGTCCCCACCCAGATGCCTCACAATTTAAAAACAAATGTACTTCATCAGTAGAAATTCAGAGGAGACCAGTTATAATATTATTCTTAAAGTCAATGACTTGCAACTTATTTATAGAATAACTTTCTATAGAATCAGGGCTCTATATCTGTATTTTTTCGTGTGTGTTTCTAGAGAGGCTAATGTTACTGCAAAGTACTATGAGTAGTTAGCTACTGCTATCCAGAGACTACGAAAATTTTTCATTCCTGTGGGAAATTCTGTTGCCTTTGGCAGGAAAATGGAAAGCATCTGAAAAAAACTGTTGTAAATCAATTATCCACTTACATGTAACTTTTTACTGAAAATGTCCCCAAGGCCCCAACTGACTCCTGTGCATCAATGAGCTATTTTGTATACTTTCATTTATCTGCCAAGTTTGTATACATTCATCAATTTTCTAACTTTTTGTCTTCCTCATTTTATTTTATTTTTCATTATCAAAAGATTATAAATCCTTCAATTATATGGAGTACGGATAAAGAGCTTGGCTATGTCAAGTGAACAAGATGGTGGACTGGATACTTTTCCCATTCCCTATTTATTCTTAAAACCCAACCTGAAAGAACTTATACATCGGATGAAGCAATCATAGGACAAAGAAAACCCCAACAAGGAAAAATCCTTGTAAATTAACAAAGGAGAATATATCACTCTCCCAGCATATATGATCCCAGGAAGAAAATACCAATCAGGACAAACTGACCTCCAGGCTTCTGTGAGTTGCCTACACTGGACTGCTCTCCTGTTGTATAGGCTTTGCCAACGCTTCACTACATGCAAACCCATAACTCACAACAAATCGAAGAAACTTAGCCCTCTGTGGCTTACCCCAATCATGAAAAAAGTGGCAATGCCAATTCACCCCAGCAAGAGGATGAAATGATGAAAGCCAAGAGGTGAAATGGGGGCAAGGAGAGCCAACATCAGTGGCCACACTGAATCTGAAGGAAAGGGACCTGGAGTTAGTCTTAAAGCCCCAAAGAGCAGGGACCAACTTAATTATCTCACCAAATTCCACGAATTCAATGATCATTTCTATACAGACGATTCCCAGACCAGTCCGAGTCTCACTTGAACTACAGACCCTCATCACCTGCGGCCTTTTGAATGTTGTTAGCTGGATATTCCATAGGCATTTCAAACATATATCCAAGATAAAACTGTGATTTTCCCCCAGATTGTCCTGTCTTCTTAATTTGCCTGTTACTGTCAAGAGCACCTGCATGCTCCTGGTCACATAGGCTCAAATCAACGTGGCACACTCAACTCCCAACTCTCTCTTCCCACTCATATCCAATCCATTGCCAAATCTTGTCATTTCTACCTTCACACCATCTCTGGCATCTATGTCCTTTCTACTCACAATAATCACTGCTCTAGTTCAGGCCCTCATTACTTCTTACCTTGGACTATTGCAATAGCCCTATGGTTGGTTTCTCTGCCCTTATCAAGTCTCTCCCACCTGAATCCATGCTCCCTCCAGCTACCAAAATGGTTTTCTATGTAACATCCCACTCAATAAACTCCAATGGCAGCCTATTACCTCCAGAATTAAATATAAACTCCTCTGTTTCATGTTTAAAGTTGTTTATCATCTGGCCCTTCTTACAGTTCCAGACTTCTTTCACTTTACTCCACCCTCCAGAGTCTAGTTAGACTATTAAATGCTCCTTTCACATGGCACTCCAACTTCCATCTCTGGGCCTTTGCACTGGGACTGTTCGCCTGACTGGAATGCTTTGCCTCCACATCCAAATATCCCAAACAGCTTCTTTCCTCAAGGCTCAGATCAAGTCCTATCTTCTACAGGAAGCCTTTCTGTCCTTAACCCCCAGCTCTCAGAGTACCTTTTATCTCTTCTGTATATATCTTATATATATCTGGTTGTTGAAATGATGTCTTACCCATCAAAATGAGCTCCTTTAGGTCACAGATTGCTTTTTCCTTTTTTTATTTGCACTTTGGTCTTAACACAGTACTTGGGTCACAATTAAGTGCTTAATAAAATGCTTGTTCTCACTTTATCTTGCTTTCTGGGGCTTAAATTCCCTACGAAGAAAAGGTTGGTCTACACCAGTCAGTCAATAAGCATTTATTAAGTGATTACTATGTGCCAGGTACACTGGGATACAAAGAAAGGCAAAAGACAAGTCTCTTTTCGCAAGGAGCTCACGATATAATGAGGCAGATAACATGCAAACAACTATGTACAATCAAGCCAAATACAAAATAAACTGGAAATAACCAACAGATGGAAGGCACTATAAGTAAGAGGAATGGGAAAAGGCTTCCTCTAGTGGAATTTTAGCTGGGACTTGAAGGAAATGAGGGAAGCTGGGAGGCAGAGATGAGGAGGGAAATCATTCCAGGCATGGGGGATAACCAGTGAAAATGCCAGAGCTGTGAAATACAGTGTCTTGATCAAAGAGCAAGGAGGCCAGTGTCACTGGATGGAAGAATATGGAGTGGGGGTGGGAGAGAGATGGGAGATGTAAGAAGGCTAGAAAAGTGTGTGTGTGGAGGGGAGGGCTAAGTTATGAAGGGCTATGAACACCAGAGGATTTTGTATCTGGTCCTGGAGATGACAAGGAGATACTGGAGTCTACTGAGTGAGGCATGGAATGATCGGACCTGCATTTTAGAAAAATAACTTTTGCAGCCCAAGGGAGAATAAATTGGAGTGGAAAGGGACTTGTGGCAGACAGACGAGCCAGCAGGTTACTGCAATAGTCCAGGAGTGAGGAGATAAGGGCCTGTAGTAGAAGATACTGATACTGCCAGGCTAAGGTTCCTTTTAGTTTTATATTTATGTTTCTTATGATCCATTGTCAAGCACATAAGATATAATACCAGGACCACAAGCATTAATACTGATGTAACATTGATGCCAATATGAATGACAATATCTGAATCTTACTCTAATGCAGACTACAGTAGAAAATACATTCCCTGGTACCCAAAGTACCTGGTTTAATAAATTCTTGTTAACTGACTAATTGACCAATGCCAGTGAAACCTAAGTAACTTGACCAGAGTCACACAGCTAGTCAAGTGTCTGAGGCTAGATTTGAACTCAAGAAGACTCATCTTCAGGTGGCAGCTAGGTGGTGCAGTGGATTGAGCACTGGCCCTGGGGTCAGTTCAAATTTGGCCTCAGATACTTGATACTTACTAGACCTGATCAACCCCAACTGCCTCACCAGAAAGCAATTTTGATTATATAAAATTTAAAAGTTTTTACACAAACAAAATGAACACAGCTAAAATTAAGAGAGAAGTAAGAAAATGCAAAAAATTCTTTGCAGCAAGTTTTTGTGATAGTTTTCATTTCTAAGACACACAGGGAACTAATTCAAATTTATAAGAATAAACACCATTCCCCAACTGAAAAATGGTCAATGGATATGAATGGGCAGTTTTTAGAGGAAGAAATCCAAATTATCCTTAGCCATATTTTTTAAATGTTTTAAATAATGTAATGATTAGAGAAATGCCAATTAAAATAACTCTGAGATTCTACCTCACATTTATCAGATTGTCTAAGTTGACAAAAAAAGGAAAATGAAAAATACTGGAGGGAAATGTGGGAAAACAGGCACACTAATGCACTATTCTTAAAACTGTGACCTAGTCCAGCCATTCTGCAAAGCAACTAAGAATCATACCCCAAAAGTTACTACATTGTGAATACCCTTTGACTCAGCCATACTGCTACTAGGTCTATACCCCAAAGAGATGAAAGACCCATATGAACAAAAATATTCATAGCAGCTCTTTTCGTTTTGGCAAAGAACTAGAAACTAAGAACCTGTTCCTCAACTGGGGAATGGCTCAGCACATAATGGTATAGGAATGTGATGGAATGAGTGCTATAAGAACTGATGATGGGAATAATTTCAAGGAAACCTGGGAAAACTTGTATAAACGGAAGCAAAATGAAATGAGTAGAACCAGGAGAACACCAACAACAATAATGGAAAAGAAAACTACGAAAGACTTAGGAATTCTGATCAACACAATGACCAATCACAATTCCAAAAGACTCATGATGAAACATGCCAACCACCTCCAGACGGAGAGGTAATCACTTCAGAGTGTACAATGAAGCATGTTTTTCGTAGACATGACAATGAAGTAATTTATTTTGCTTGACTATACACATTTGTAATGGATTTTATTTTTTTTTAACTTTCTCAATGGGTGGGGTAGAAAGAAATTAAAAGGAACAGAATCTGATATTGAAAACAAAATTAAAGTAAAAAAACTGAAGATGAGGAAAACGAAGGAAAAAAGAACACGATCCATATAAGCCAAAGTTACTGACCTCAAAGACAGGATTTATGAGACTATTTAAGGATCATAGGCTTCCCAGAAGAGTATGATTACTCAAAACCAAAAAGAGAAAAAAGAAACCCAAAAAACAAAACTTTAACACCATCACACGGGATAATAGAGTAAAAGTGCTAAGAAATTCTGAATAAAAAAAATATTAAGCACTAAGAATGAGAGTAGGGTCTCAACCCAAAAGAAGGAAAGGATGCCAGTGAAGAGCATTCCCATGAGGAAAAGGTGTACATCTACAATAGAAAACATGGACTTTCCTTAGGAAGAATTTAATCAATCAAAAATTACTCATTAAGTTCCTACTTATGTGCCACATACCAGGGTACATAATGAGACACAAATACAACGGAACAATCCCAAGAAGCTTACATTTAATAGAGGGGACAAGTAGGCCACATATAATTCTATACAGAAGCAGCATAATGCAGTTAATTAAAAGATCATTTGGAAGGGAAGAATTACATTGGAAAGTGTACCATGGACCATAATCCTACCCGAGGAGAAGAGAAATGTGAGCTCTCAGGGAAATCTGGTAACCAGAAGGATAGGTCTGAA